ATAATTTATTAAGCATTTCCTTAAAACAAAGGGCATATCCATACATACTATTTCAGCTGTCCCTGATTTTGCTCTTGCAGGTTTGATTCCAAACCAGCTTAAGAAAATTCTATCCAGACTGAGATATTATGGCAAAAACTGGCCACGAATTCTATCTAGACTGCAAGCTATCATTAGACAACTCCTTTTGCTATGCTCTCCGACTACTTTGATCCAGAAAGTAACAGCAAATCATTTTCCTTTCCGTGGGTTCTTCTTTTTGATTATATGTAATGTTTAATGTTTAATAAATTTATAGGCTGCCCAATCCTGAAGGACTCCGAGTGGCTTACAACAATACATTTAAAAATAGAAGTTAAAAGCACAAAAACATAGATTAAAAAGACCACAANCCGCTCACAGCGTGCTGTTTTCGTCGCACTGTGATGATGTCACGTACACGCTTTCGTCTACCGCGGTTTTGTGGTGGAACCCCCGATGTAAACGTTTCCTTAAAAATCCATCACAGGGACACCGAAACTGTGGTGAACTGAATTTTATTTAGTGTGATAACACAGTTGCAGTCTGACAGTCAATATTCATATATCAAGAGTCACTTAGTTGGCTAACAGCTAGGAGACAGCAGACCCCGAGACACACACTCAAGTATTATACACAACCACAGAGAAGGCAGGGGGACGCGAACAGCGTTGTTCACAATGTTATCTTCCCCCCAACCGCCATCCCAACCCACAAACATTTATGCTTTTTTCCCCTATTTTTATTCTTTATTTTTTTAAATCCCTAATCTCCAGAGAGAGTAGTTTTCCAGTGCATCTTCAAAGAACACGACAGCAGTGGCCGGAGGAGAAAGGGAGCAGCCCCAGTTAACTGCGGAGAAAGGAACAGAGACGTGACAGGACATTGCCAATTCCCACACAATAGGGAGTATATATATATATCTTTTCTCTAGATCTATATAGAAGTTATCTACACAGGTTGGGAACAGGCCTTTTGCAAAGGGCGGGGGTGGGAGGGTTTCGCTCTGCAAGGCGGGCTGATTCTGATGGAGAGGAAAAGAGACACAACTGAGGCTACCTGGGTTCAGGTAAGAGGCAAGTGGGAAGATGCCCGAGAAGCTTTGCACATCGAAGATAGGAATGGATTCTCTCAGCAGCCTGATATGGCGTGGCCAACGTTTGGAAGAGGTTGGCGGTGCTTTTAAGAATTGGAAATAATTCAACGCGCTTCCTTCTTCAGAGACTTCAAGGCTGCAGGAGCCTCCGAAGGCAGTGAAAAAGCGGGAATTTTGAGCCACATGAAGCCTCAGTGCCATGGCTAAAAGGTCGGGCCTACAAGCACCGATTTCTAAATGGAAGAAACAGTGAGGGGCAGTTGGTAGAACCTAGGTCTGATTTTTCTCCCAATTCCAAAACCAGAGGATAAGAGCATCTATATGGAAGTCCTCAGTCATCCAGGTCACAGGTTGTCTCAAAGGTGCTTTTTCAAGAGGCAACTGGACTTACGTTTTTTTTCTTTTGTGGAAGAATGTGTTTCGCTCATCCAAGAAGGGTTGCTTCTTGGCTGAGAAGCGAAATGTCTTCTTCTCTCAAGGTAAAAAAAAAAAAAAGAGAGAGCCCAGTTGCCTCTTGAAAAAGCATCTTTGAGACAAAAGGATGGAGTGCTGGAAGAGGGTGATGCGCAGACATTTGATACAGATATTCTACAGCCTCTGCATAACTGTTGTCCTCTTTTATGCATGAGGCTTCTAGATTGGGGGAGTACCAGCAAAACACCAAAGGGCTACGAAAAAGACGCCCGCACCCTGCAGCATTGGCAAACTGAAACAATATTGGCTCATCTCCATGGAATTGGTTTCTCAAGCAAGAAACGTTGAGTTTGAGCCTTCTTCGAGCACTTTATGATGTATCTTGCAGATACTGTGGCTGTAGCAGTACTGCTTGGGTCAAGATTAGCATCCTTTGATGGAAAGCATTTCCTGTTTGGTGGTTTCCTGCGAACTCAAGGGAACCAGATTCAACTGTGCTGCCCAGGACTCTGACAGAAGAGTTGGCAAATGGGTGAGGCCGGGGAGAAGGAGGACATTTTAGACCAAGAAGAAAATAAATCGTTTGCAGGCCCAGCCCCCGTTAAAAACTCACATGCCAGAAATTGAACCAGGAGGACGTTTTGTGAGAGCAAGGTAGGCCAAAGAAATCCCTAGATGGGGAAAAGGAAATGCTTACGCTGGGTCCATAGGCAGAAAATCATTTTGGATAATGTTTTCTGGTTCTAATCCCCAAATTCTTCCAAAAGAGGATGAAAGTGACTTTGGCTGCAGGTGAGAGCTCCGTCCATGTTAAGCAGAAAAAGTGAGAAAAATCACAGACAACCACATCTCGTGCTACTATCCTTCCACCACAAATCGCGTCAAAAGAAAATGGTTGACATCACCTTATTATCCCCAACCTCGATGAGTTATATACTTTGCATCATCTCATCACCTGGTCGTAAAAATTACAGGCACAGAGATCTTGATGAACTATACTCAAAAGGAAGCCCAACACAACAGGACCCATTCTCCAGAGCATGGCTTCAACGGGCCAGATTGCAACTCCCACCGTCTTTTGTTTCAAATGACCAATCCCAGCAATCTTCAGCCTATTTCAATGTTTCTCAAGCTCAGCAAAATTTATGATGTGTGGACTTCAGCACCCAGGATTCCCCAGCCAGCATGCATGGCTGGGGAATCCCGGGAGTCGAAGTCCACACATCTTAAACTTCTCATGAAATATTGGCCTATACTGCCAGTAGCCACCTGGAGTAGGAATTCAAGAGCTGTAATTCAGGAAGGCTGATCTACGGGAGGACAACCACGCAGAGACAAACAAAACATGTCATTCAAATATCATCAGAAAATATTATCCAGTTCATGACGACTTCTACCTGTCTTCCCATGTTAATTTGCATGCTAGTGCAACTTGCATTCTAGTCAAAGAGCAAATACCTGAAAATAAATTCTGTGCTAAAATCAGAAGCTCAAAATCTACGCAAACCTCTAATTTCTTTTTCTTTTTTAAATACGTACAATATTCTTTGCAGAACCAGCAGATATCTGACAAGGATTAGCATTTCTTCCACTGTACATGAAATAAAAACAAACAACTAGGTATCTATGTTTTGAAGGCCAGGATAAAGGAGTGGAGTACAGACCCAGAATTCCGAATGAGGACCTTCAAACAGCGAGACAAGGACTCAGCGGAACTCTTACAGCCATCTATGGGAACTCTTTCCCAACCTAAAACTTTCCAAATTTGCAAATCCTGGGCCTCAGTGGCTAGGGAATGTAGTAAAGAGTAGTTGGGTGAATCTGTAGCAGACTGATGTAAGGACATAATTCAAAATGACAAACCAAGGAATGAAGCAAAAAGTGGAGGCAGTTGTAAAGCACTTTGCATATTTCAAATGAGTCATGAGTGATAAATTATGTAAAAATAGCGGCTCCTGGCATTGGTCTGAGCCTAGAGAAGTCTCTGTTTAATCCAGCTACTTCAGAAACTCACAAAGAATATATTTTTTTTTCTGAGAGCATCAAGAGAAGGGTGGAATAAACTGCTGGAGACTACGCATCCACTTGGGAAACTCCCCAACTCAGCACTACGCAGGAACCAGGTTTCCCATATAAAGACTCAGAATCCTTCCCCAATCAGACCATTTCTGTCTACCCTCCCTGTACATATCCAGGAATGGACGGTGTGGGGGATGGGGGCAGGGGTGAAATGCTACTGGTTTGGACCAGTTCACCCGAACCAGAGAGCAAAGTCCGAAGTGGTAGTAAAAAAAAAATGCTAGCGGTTTGGGTGAAGTGGTTTTTCTAACGATCAGCTGTGCCGTGCGATTTATATTAGCTAAAAAGCTAATCTAAGCTCTGCCACACAGCAGATTCCTCCACCCCATTCATTCACTCACTTGCTAGCCAGGTGCGCTCGGTAGCAAGCTCCGCCCACCCGCCATCTGCTCGGAAGGTCCCGCGCATGCGCTCACATTGCTATCAAAGCAAAGGTAAGTAGAGTTCACCCCTGGATTCGGAGGGGAGGGGGGAGGAATAAATCAGATACTTAAGGTAATCTGGAAAGAGAGAGGAGAACGTACGTCAACCCTCTCTTTGAGGTGTTCCCCTCTTCCTTAGCACCATTCATGAGGAAAGAAGCACAGAAACATTTAAGTAGGACGACACGCTTCTTCTTGCTATCCACAAACACTTAGCCAAATCAGAGGATTTGCAAATGAATAAAAAGCAGCAGTAGAAAGGGTTTGGTGGTGGTTTTTTTTTTTTTTTT